AATGGAGATGGTAAGGCAATGACTGCCTAAGACTCAAATTCCCATTGCTGTCAATGGAAAACATCAAGTTTCAGAGGTTGATGGATGCTATAATCAAACAATCTTTTAGATACAAAGTGCTTGGGAATAAAGATCACATTAAATAAGGAAATCTAGGAGAACTGTGAGCAGTTGAAGTGTAAACCATAAACTGCTTCCATGTAGATTGCACAAGTTTTGGAACTTTAAAAAAATTAGATACCCAAGTATCAAAATCTGTTACATTTCAATGTAACAAAACTGCAGTATTCAAACAGCAGGAAGCAACATTTTCTTCATTAATCTTAATAAGTTCAGGAAACAGTCTCAGTTCTTCCTGCAGCTTTATTTCTTTGTCTTGTATGTGAGAATTTATTAATGTTAATAACTCATTTTAGTTGAATGCCTAGATTCATTTTTAGTTTTAATTTAAAGATTGTCCATATTTTTTAAAAAGCTTCACTAATGCAAAGTTTCATTGTCCTTTTCCTCAGGTGCTATCCTGTAGCCTGTTGTATTGTATAACAGAATCTGATTTCATCTATTCGTTATAGTTGAAAGCTTCTTTTGTTCATTTCTATTTCTGTTTTCAATTTCTTCAAAAATATTGTTATCTGTGTTGCATTTTATGAAATCTTGCAAAAATCAATCAAAATGTAGTCTAGGCCATGATGCATTGCCAAGTTGTCCATTGTCATAACTGGCTATTCTTCAGCAGATACTTATCTAAATTAACTTGAGAACCAGCAGAATATATCACATGAGAAGATGGTGGCAGAAAGAACGCTATCCTGTAACTTTTGATTATTTAACCTGGAAGAAAGTTGATGAATTGATGTACATGGAGTAACCACTAATATTGAAATATTCTGAATCCATGTGAAAAAATGATTTAATTCAGACTTATCGTATATTTCACTTTTACTGGAGTAAAACTTCCAGACATTTGAGAATTAAGTAAGATTTTGCCATTATAGCACAAGCAAGCAATTTAACAAAGAGAAATGAAACAAAGTTTTTTTTCTCTCTCTGGAGTGTAGTAAGATGTTCAAGTAGTAAATCTGTGAAAACTGAGGAGAGTAAAGGTGAAAACTGCACCTCTCACCATAATCTTCCAATCCTCCTTAGATACATGAGTTGTGCTCAAGGACTGATGAACTGTAAATACTACATACTTGTTTAAAAAAGAGATGCACGGATAGCTTAATCTCAATGATGGAAAAATTTTTGAAGTGATAATTCAGGATAAAATTAACAGTCATTTGGACAAATGCAGATTTTTTAAAAAAATGTCAGCATGAATTTATTAAGGGCAAATTGTGTTTAACTTTTCCACTTGAATATTTTTTGATGAAGTAATACGGAGAATTTATGAGGGTGTTGCAGTTGATGTGCATTGTTCAACTCATATTTGTTAGGAGTTCTAAATAACATACCTGTTAGTGAAGTTAGAGTTCATGGAATGAAAGGGTCAGTAACCACATGTATTTGCATGTCGTTGGCTGAGTGACAGGAAATAAAGGTTTGTCGTGAATAAATTCAAAACAAAGTGCTGAAGAAATTAAGTCAGTCTGACAGCATTTGTGGAAGGTGAAACAAAGTTAACGATTTGAATTCAATATTACTTTCATCAAAACTGAAGGGGCTTGAAAATTATAGTTTTTATGCTATTCACAAAGGGGGAGGTAAAGGTAAAGTTGCCATAGTCCTACCAGACCGTAGAACCACTCTTTCAGGAGGGAGATGACTGGTGGTGGCTTAACCTGAGGGTCACCATGCCTCAGGTCAGAGGAAAAGTTGAGAAGGAGATTCCTTCATTGTAACCTCAGCCAGCGCGGGAATTGAGCCTGCACTGTTGGTGTCATTTTTCATCATAAATAACCATCCAGCCAACTGAGTTAACCAATCCCTGCGAAGGGGAGGAAGAGTAAATGAGACAGATGGTGAAACTGTCCAAAGGACCAGAGTGGAGACAAAGGGAGTGCTAACAATAGTAAAAGAGAGACACTGGTGGAAAATAGCTGCTAAAAGCAGGTGTGAATAGTCAAAAATAGGTTGGCTTTGCTGAGAGCAAACCCATGGAAACAAGATAGTGAGGGGACGGAGAAGGGGATGTAATTGAAATGGAGAAAAGTGTTCATGCTTTGAAGTTATGGAATTCAATCTTGAGTCCTGAAGGCTGTAATGTCTAAATGGAAAAATGGAAAATCAGCTTGGAAAACTGCAGCATGCCAATGGCAGAATTGTTAACATGGTAGCAAGAAGATGCATTGAAATAGTAAGTGACTGGAAGGGCAGGGTCATTATTATAGACAGATTGGAGGTGTTCTGCAAAGCAGCCACCCAGTCTGCTTTTGGTCTTGCCAGTGTTGAGGATACCATATTGTGATTACAATAGATTAGTCACAGAGTTACAGAGGTCCATTGCATAGAAAAAGGCCCATCAGCCTATTGAGTCTGCACCAGTCAAAAACAAGCAGCCAACTGTTCTAATCCCATTTTCCAGCACTTGGCCTATAGTCTTGTATGCCTTGGCATTGCAAGTGCACATCTAAATTCGTCATAAATGTTCGGAGGGTTTTTGTCTCTACCACCCTTACAGGCAGTGAGTTCTAGATTCTCCCCAACCTCTGGGTGAAAAAATGTTTTCTCACATTCCCTCTAAAGCTCCAGCCCCTTTTCTTAAATCTGTGCCGTCAGGTTATTGATTCCTCCACCAAGGGACAAAGTTTATTACCATCAATGCTCCTCATAATGTTATACATCCTAATCATGTCCCCCTAATCTTCTCTACTCCAAGGAAATCAATGCCAGTCTATCCAACCTCTCTTCATAACTAAAACTCTCAAGCAACGTCCTGGTAAATCTCTTCCTCACCCTCTCCAACACAGTCACATCTCTCCTATAATGTGGATTACAGAACTGCACACAATACTCTACCTGTGGCGTAACCAACATTTTACACAGTTCCAGCATCACCTCCCTGCTGTTAAAGTCTATGCTTTGGCTAATAAAGGCAAACAAACCGTATACATTCTTGACAACAAGGTGCAGGGCTGGATGAACACAGCAGGCCAAGCAGCATCATAGGAGCAGATATACACTCTTAACCACTTTATCTACCCATTCCACTACATTAAGGGACTGGTGGACATGTACATCTAGGTCCCTCTGATTCTTGGTGCTTCCCAGGTTCCTTCCATTCATCGTGTATTCCCTTGCCTTGTTTGTCCTGCCCAAGCGCATCACCTCGCATTTAACTGGATTGAATTCCATTTGCCACTGATCACCCCATCTGGCCAGCCTATCTATACCCCACTGTAATTTTAGGCTATCCTCCTCATTATTTATCCACCCACCAATTTTTGTCTCATCCTCGAACTTACTAATCAACCCTCATACATTCAAGACTAAACCAACTTCTGGAAGCAAAACTTACCAGTCAAATTTCCGACGAAAACAAAAACAAAGAACTGCGGATGCTGGAAATTGAAAACAAATAAAAAATTGCTGAAGAAACTCTGCAGGTCTGGCAGCATCTGTGGTGAGAAAGCAGAGTTGACATTTCAAGTCCAATGACACTGTTCTGAAGAAGGGTCACTGGACTAAAAACATTAACTCTGCTTTCTCTCCACAGACGTTGCCAACCTCCAGAATTCCTCTAGCAATTTCTGTTTTTGTTTCAAATTTCCAACAAACACTTGAGCAATTTTGTCAGTAGATTTCCATGTATCTTACAAATTCTCTGTTTTTGTTTGTTAGTTTCTTTATCTATTTTTATCTATTGCAAAGACTGGAAATGAAGGTAGTAGTTATCAAGTGACAGATATCACACTGATGGCTTGACAACCTTAAAGCCCAAAGTTACTGGCATGCCCAGTTAAGTTGGTGTTTGAGAATTCAGTACCAATCATTAACATTGGGACTTGCACAATGTTTGATGTACGTTATATGTTCAAGAACAAGATTGAATTTGTCAACTTGCCGCAACAATATTACTGCACTTCTGTGAAGTATTTTTTACCTGATTTTATTGATGTGATATAACAACTCTGGATCTGATGCTGATATTGTTTGGGCTGTTTCACATGTTTGAGCATATAGTCTCTGCTGCTAACAGCTGAGCAGAGGGGTTGTCATCAGCTGGTTTGCCAAACAGATGCCGCACTCCCGTTTAGAAGCTGCAGAGATCCTGTGGGGTAATGAGATTAAGAAAGAATGTTTTTTCCAGGATGGGGGGGCACAGGTGGTCCTTGAAAAGAACATGGATTTTTGTTGGAACCTCCCCAGAAGTCAATCAGATACAGCATGTTGAATAAACCCAGACATGCTGGAATACTGTTCATTTGGTAGAGAGCCATAACTGCCTTTAAACAGAAGCCATTGGCCATTGCATGCAACAAATATGGTCTTGTCACTACATTGAGTCAGAATTGCTACTAATATAACAATACAAAAGGCCTATATATTTTGCCTAAAAGCAGACTTTATTCGCTGTAAAATAAATTACACTGTAATTCTTCTTTTGTGCTTATTTATTTTATTGCAGCTTAATCACACTAATACACAGAAGATATTGATTTATCTGTTCATAAATTTAAATCTAGTCCTAGTGCCTGAGGGATAATGATTTTGTACCATACAGTATTAATATTTGGATCTTTAAATATCTCCTGAGCTCTGAGAATTAGAAATAGTTCAAACCTACTGGGGCAAGAATATTCTCTCTCTTTTGAATAAATAGGTGTTTGTTGATTCTTTTAATTATTTTTGTTAGTATGTTAAAACATTGTTTGATTTGAACTCCAGCTAATTAAGCTGGTGTACGTAGCTGACCATAGGTCACACTAAAAATAATTAGAAAAGTGCATGTTATTGTATGGAGAATTTAGTATTTTTAAGACCATTGAATTCTAACTGCTCCTACAATTTATTAACTGAACATGCAATATGCAATTTGCTCCTTTATATTCTTAACACAGGAAGCAATTATCAATCATGTCTCTCTGGATAAACTCTACCTGTTTCGTGTTCAAGCTGTGTGTCAGAATGATCTGCGAAGCGATTTTAGCCAGACAATGCTGTTTCAAGGTGAGTCAACATGAGAAAAATAATTCTAGTTTGAAACATTTATTCATGTTTTAACATGAATAAATGGTCTTCTAATTAAAAACATAATGTAAGTATAACTGCAAGTTCTTTACTGTGCTTCTGCCTCTCCCTTACCACTACTGATCATTGATACCCTGTTGTAAGATTTATTTCCCATATGTTGGCAAGATAGAACAAATCTGATCAATTTGTAAGTGTATAAACACTTTTAATTCCATGGATAACAGCATGTGGATTTAAGATTCAAGAACTGTTTGCAAAGCTGTGAAGAAATACTTTAAAAATTAGACATTCATAAACAATTTATTATTGCCTACTGTAAATAACACACCAAACATAATTATATTTTGATAATATAATTGTAAATTCAAATCAAAATGGAAAAACAATCTGCAGTTTACAATAAAACCTGACAATCTACAAATGTGTGGAAACAATATCAAAGCAGTGTTTTTGAAAGGAAATTAAACCAGTGGTAATGCAGTATTAAAACAGGAAGGAGAGACAGGAACCTGAAATAAAATTAGAAATACCTAACAGGGCCATCAGCCTTAAAAATGAATACTGTTTGGAGGAAAACTAAGTTTCACCTAAATTAATTTTTTGTTTTGATAAGTATTTGCAATATTTATATTTTTGATTGCACATGTTGGTAAATATAACAAGTGTGAATATCTACAGTGATACAATGTGGTGTTTGAATATTGGCATAAACCAAGAGCAAAGCTCAGGAGGTTTACAGTGTGTTCTGAACTCCAAGTATATTATTTTGACCTTCAAGCAGCACCCAGATGTTGTTTGCTTTTTATAATGCATACTATTTAGCACTGTGTATTTAATCCATTTTAGAACTGTTAGTGTTTGTGTCTTTATGGCTGTTCCGTATGTTGTCACTGAGAATGCTGTAAAGCACTGTGACCCAAAGCACCTGGTATCCAAAGTGTCAAAATCTGGGCTTGAGTTGAGAGAAGCATGTCAGGACCATGTGTAAGTCTTGAAGACACACTTGTTCTGAAATTTCCCAGAAAGTTTAAACTCTTGATGGACTGATTTCTGTTACTTGGAATCCTGAGCTCAGTGTCAGAGACATGGACCAGATTTTTAAAAAAATGAAATGCAGGATATAGTGGACTTTCCTGGATATTTGCCCAAGAAATATCACACTGCTCAATAACCAGGTCTAAATCCAAGATTAGCCTGTATAACTGAACTAAGTGCCATGTGACACTCCCAACTTCCACCAAACATCCCGCTAGCAGATCTAACTACAACCTCCTCTGTGTCCCAAGACCCCAACCTGACTAAGTCCCCTCCATCTAACTATTCCCCACCTCATGCTAGACAATCCCTGACCCAACACAAACCAATTGCCCCCTTCACCTGACAATCTCCCTCACCTGACCAACCACGCATATACTGAAACACTTGAAAGCTGTAAAAGTTTATCAGAATGCAGTAGCTAATTTTAGATAAAAGAGGCATAGCCTATCTTCACTCATCTCCTCCTCCACTCATTAGAATTCGATGAGAATGGTTAACTGACCTCTTGCTGCCTGGACCTGTGTCTTTCACTGGACTGTGGTCACAATGGGGCTACCTGATAGGAAAAGATAGTTTTGCTGAAAAATAAGAATCATCTCCTAATATTTTTGAAATAATTGTATTATACAAACTTGAATAGCCATTTTCAAAAATTTTCAGACAAATCAGTGAAATTGTTGGTTGATGAAACAGCAGTGGAAACTCTCATGACCTTAGATGTGTGGTTAAGTCTCCTTCTATATTCCTTAATTTACTGGAGTATAAGTGGCTCTGCTTCATCATCCATCCACAACCCAACCACATTCCCCACCCAACTGCATTTCTGTCTTGCTTTTCTTGCCCATAACTCATACTGACAGTTTTTATTCTTGTCAAATACAAGTTCAATAATGGAATAGTTGTATTATGGAGTGACAAAAATATAGTTATCTGTTCCTTGCAGATGTATTCTCCACTATGATAAAGCTGTGCTTTGAAACATATTGGGCTTCGTAAATAGCATATAAATGACATAGCTTCTATAACTAGATGGATGTGTGACAAAGGATGATGGACAAATGAAGTAAATCGAAATCAGATTCAAATTGATATATAGCAAACTGCTTTTATAAACTGAAACACAAAGCATAAAATTCAAAAGGTGATTTCAGTTAAGTGGAAGTAATTGTTCAGACTGAAATGATGCATGTGTAAAAATGTGTCTTTTTATGAGTATTATGCATTCAGAGATTGTAACATCTGCAAAAAGCATATGCGTTTAGTATTTAGAGTAAACATAGAATAAACCTTGAAATGGGTTCAATTTTTCTGCATCTAGTGTTGAGTAGTTCACCAGCATGTTCAATAACACTCACAAATGTGTGAGGATCTGTAACTCACTAAGGATATATTGGCCTAAAAACACAGTGAAGTATTTTTATGCAGAGGCAATATGAGGATTTTCGAGTTTTTTAAAATTTCAACTTTCAGTTAATAAATGACGAATAGAAAGCAACATTCGACAAACACTGCTTTTATTCCAAGTCTTCCATAAATTGTAGTTAAAAAAATGTTTATTTAGGAGCATAGGAGCAGAGTGGGCCATTTTGGCCAGAACCCTTGACTGTCTTCTCTATCAAAAATGTATCTAATTCAACTTTGAATAAATTTAAGGACTCAGCCTCCCTTACCTTCTGGGGAAGTGAATTCCATACTCAGACAACTCTTTGAGATAATTAAGAGGAACGGGGGATCTTTTATTCTTAAACTATGTCCCTAGCATTAGTCTCCCACACAAAAGGAAATATCCTCCAAGTATCTGCCCTATTAATGAGGCAAGAGTGTTGGCAGACTTACCTCCTTTAAAAGGGGCTCTGTCCGCCATATTTAAGTTGACATTTTGCCATTATTTTCTGTTTTACTGTTAATTTGCTAATTTTAACAAGGGCCCATCCATGCTTCAAGATTATATTCTTTGCGGCGTCTGCCATACTTTCCCCCCATACCTAAGAATATTCGTGAAAATAAACAATTTGTTAACTTTATTTGTAATATCGACATTGTCTGTTTTAATGAGGCCACTTTGTCTTTAACCACCTTCTTTTTCTTAATTACAGTCAGTTCTGAGATAACGCGTGTTTCTTCAACGCAAATCAGCTTTAACGCAATTGAAGAATTTAGACCACTATTTGTAGAAGGCGAACTTTCCTTGCCTGTATTGGCTATAATGTGATTCCGGACCCATTAATTTAAATAGCACGGCTAGTGCGTGATTTTCTTATAACACAAGATTGTACGAGAATGGAGTTATGGCTTTACATCAGAACGGGCTCTATACATTCTTTTATTGATTTTTATTTCCTTTGTAAGTTTATTTTCACATTCCCCTTTTGTAGCTGTTACAATCTGTTTTGTCATCTTATACTGTAATTAAGATTCATTCCATTTATGGATATTCTGTTTTATGTTGTCTCTTACCTCTTTAGTTGTTCATGATTATTTTGTTACAAGCAATGCTCTTGAGTCCTCAACATCCCTTCCCACTTTTGTTGTTATTTTACCAATTAACTAATTTCCCTAGTTTCTAGTTTCATTAATTTCCATGAACAGTAAAATTGGCCTTATCTAAATCTCAGATGTTAAATTTCTACAAAAGAAGAGTTTGTGTACGTACCATTGTGTGGTGAGTTTGAGGTTCAGTTGGGTACAATTATAAGTGGTGATTTTTTTGCAAGTCAAAATCAAATGGTTGCAGGTGCTATGTCTTAACAACATAGGCATCATAGACTGTGTCTAGGGCCTTCTTGCATTATGGTGGTAGTGGCCCTACCCCTGACCTGAGAGATCCAGGTTCACGTCCCACCTGTACCAGAGTGTGTAACAATATCTCTGAGCAGGTTGATTAGAAAAATAGGTTAAATTTTAAAAAATGTAATAATGCAATTAACTTGACATTAACAAATTGTTTTTTATCAGCTGTAGCTCTATAGGGAATGCTGTCACTCTTGAGTTGAGAATGTTGTAGGTTCAAGACCAACTACAGGTGGAATTTTATCACGTTTCCATAGTGTAGTGGTTATCATGTTTGCCTAGCATGCAAAAGGTCCTCACTTTGAAACTGAGCAAAAATATTGGTACTCCCTCATTATCCGGGCAAAACATGCCAATAGAAGTGAATGGAGCTTGTTATTTGGGGGTCTTCTTATGGTGCAATAGTAGTGTCTCTAGTCAATGATCAGGAGGCCTGGGTTCAAGTTCTACCTGCTCCAAAGATGTGTAATAACATCTGCTTGATCAGGTTGATTAGAAAGATAAATTACTTAAAAAAAACTGATAGACTGTGTCTGTCTTGTGACCCAGTAGTACTGCCCATACCTCTGAGCCAAGAGGCCTTGGTTCAAGTCCCACCTATGTGCATAAATGCCATTAATGCCTCTGGACAGGTTGATTCACAATATCAGAGACTGTGTTTGGCATTGCCTCGCTGCAAAATTCTGATTCCTTTGTGTACTCAGCAAGTAGTTCTTTCAGAGCATGCCATACTAAATTCTGGTTGCACATTTTTAGTCAAGCATGACCAAATAGATTATTAGGAATACATGACATATTAATTATACACAGAACCTTGTAACTTGTCTTTTAAAACCTAGATCAAAATATGTGTTCCTAAATACATTTCCACTTTCAACAAGTTATGACCAGGACATAGATATTTGTTTTATGTTACATCTCACAGCACCTAATTTATAATGTTTTTATTTAAAAATTAATTTGCTTTAAATTAAGATCTTTGTTCTTTTTCTAGCTAACACAACTAGAATATTTGAAGGAACTAGGATTATAAAAACAAGAATGGTAAGTGTGGAAATTAATCTTTTCTGTTTGAAATACATTACTTTTCTGTCTTACCTTCAAGGGTGCATGCAGGAAAAATGAGGGGAAATTATGACTTTGTCCATCTGTGAACACAATGCGTAGAGACATTCTCTTTTTCATTCCAAGTTGTAACCTCTGAAGTGGAAACTGTTTTTGTTTTGGTAACAATGCTGCAACATAAATAAGAAAAATATGGCTGTCACTGGAGAAACTCAGTTTGTAGTTTTCCAAAGCTGTGGGAAAAGGGAAAAGGAATAGTGTAATTCTAATTTTTATGAGACAGTGTCAGTTGTACAAATTAAGACATTGAGACCAACCTGCAACCTGGAAATATTCAAAATAAAGGTGGCAACTATTCACATTATACATTAACAATCTAGATGAAGGAACTTAGGGTATTGGTGCTAAGTTTGCAAATGACACAAAGATAGATAGAGGGACAGGTAGAGTTGAAGAAATGTGGAGGTTGCAGAAAGACTTGGACAGGGTGGGAGAGTGGGCAAAAAAGTGGCAAATGGAATACAATGTGGGAGAGTGTGAGGTTATGCACTTTGGTAGGAAGAATAGAAGCATTGACAATTTTCTAAATGGGGAAAGACTTTGAAAATCTGAAGCACAAAGGGACTTGGGAATCCTAGTTCAAAATTCTCTTAAGGTTAACATGCAGGTTCAATTTGGCAATTAGGAAGGCACATGCAATGTTGACATTCATTTCAAGAGGGCTAGAATACAAGGGCAGCGATGTACTGCTGAGGCTGTATAAGGCCCTGGTCAGACCAGATTTAGAATATTGTGAGCACTTTTGGGTTCTACGTCTAAGGCTAGATAAGCTGGCATTGGAGGAGTCCAGAGAAGGTTAGCAAGAATATCACATGAATGAAGTTCTTGTCACATGAGGAGAGGTTGAGGATTCTGGGTCTGGACTTGATGGCATTTCGAAGAATGAGGAGGGATCTAATTGAAACTGACAGAATACTGAGAGGCCTTGATATAGTGGTCATGGAGAAAATGTTTCCACTAGCAGGAGAGATTAGAATCTGAGGGCACTGCCTCAGACTGAAGGGGCACCCTTTAGAACTGGGATGATGAGGAATTTCTTCCGCCAGAGGGTGGTGAATCCATGGAACTCGTTGCCACAGTGGGCTGTGGAGGCCAAGTCATTGAGTGTATTTAAAACATAGATAGTTTCTTGATTAGTAATGGGATAAAGGGTTACATGGAGAAGGCAGAAGAATTGGGTTGAGAAACATCAGCCATAATTGAATGGCGGAGCATACTCAATAGGCCGAATGATCTAATTCTGTTCCTATATCTATGATCTTATTATACTAGAATGTTTATAGAAACAGAGCTACATCTTAAAACCGTAGTCCTTAGTCCTGGATTCTGCTTAAATTATCATTAAATCTACACCTTAAATTGTGGCATCCACATTTTAAAAATACTTGGTGATTAGTTTTATTCTTATTGATCCAGAGGTTATCTCTGCTAGGTTAATTTACGAACAGGTCATGTTGTTGTGGAGTTGTCAAAATATATAGAGGGAACTGGAGAAAATGCACCTGAGCAAAGTTAGAATACCTGTGCACAAACAAAGGTCGAGCTTTTATTGCAATATCTATTTCATTGCAATTCTAGGCGGTATGAACAATCTGATCACCAATTTAGACTCTTCAGAAAACCCACCATATTTCTTTTTTTGAAAACTCATTTCAATATATCAATCTTTGTGGTTACAGGGGACTCTCTTTTTAATACACTCATTAATTCTGCAATACTTGTATCCATGCTGTATACCTCTATGACTCGATATGGGACTAGTTCAGTTTAGGAAACCTGGTTGGCATGGACAATTTGGGCTGAAGGCTTTTTTTCCATGGTTTATACCTCTATGACTTGTAGATACTTGAGGACTAAACAGATAACCAGTAAGGATTTTTATTCGAATGTTTGCATTCTTGACTACTCAACAAATTTTTGGGCATGACATATTTTAGATTTGTTCAGTGTTCAATATTTTTATGAAAAGAATCTTGAAATTTATGCAATGAATTAAAAATACAGATTATAATTCTCATGGAAACAGAATGTGCATCTTTGAAGAAATCCAGAAAATAATTTTATGAGCATTGTTTAATTGTTTCACAATTTACATTTCAGTAGGAAGTTCCGAGATGAATTTGAGTGAAATAATGATGTTAAAAATTATACCCTTTTAAGTGAACCAGAAGCATGTAAAACATGCAGGGCATTAATGACTGTTCAGAGGTTAGCCCTTAACTGATGACACATTTTAGAGTTTTTTGTGTTTTGCTTCCTTCAAGGTTCACCAGCAGATGGCAGCAAATTATGTTGAAGAATGTTTATTTCTGAAAGATGGGAAGGCAATCTTTAGAAGTGACTGAACATTTATATAAAGTTGTTAAAGAATAAAAGATTTAATTTATTCAACATTTATCCTTCTCATTTAAAATGATTTTTGAATCATTACTGTCTTAAAACAAAGGATGGAAATTGTTTTTGACATATGTTCCAGAAATTTAAAAACAAAATGAACATCGTCAATTTTGGTTTGCATGGAGACTCTGTTCCCCTCATGGTGTGCAGTTTAAGTATGAGAAAGATGTACATGAGGGTGGCAGGAGATGAGATAGAGGGAGGCAGAAAATAGCAGTGGGCAAGGAAGGGAGAGACTAGGATCCGAAGACACCACCTTAAAGTGAAGGGATGACCTTTTAGATCTGAGATGAGGGAGAATTTCTTCAGCCAGAGGGTGGTGAACCTGTGGAACTCATTGCCACAGATAGCTGTGGCGGCCAAGTCATTAAATGTCTTTAAGACAGAGATAGAGAGGTTCTTGATTAGTAAGAGGATCAAGGGTTACAGGGAGAAGGCAGGAGAATGGGATTGAGAAACATATTAGCCGTGATCAAAAGGCAGAGCAGACTTGATGGGCCAAATGGCGGAGCAGACTCACCAGGCCGAATTGCTTAATTCTGTTCCTATATCTTATGGTCTAATGGGGAAGCACTAAGGGAGGGAATAGCTTAAGAAAAGTACCTCAGGGGCCACAGAAGAAGGACGAGGAAATAATTTGGTGTGTGGACTTATGTAACAAGGGAGGTAGGATTGCTCATCACTGCCGGGACTTGCAATGTTCACACGACTGGGACTACGTTTTAGACTCAGCTCCACAATAGTTCAGCTGCTGCAAGCCAGGAACTGCCCTTCGCATTGTGGTCCTGCATCATTATCCGATAGGAAATGGTGAGAAACATGATGCAGAAAGGGGTGCCAGCAGCTCAGAATGCCAACAGGGAGCTAAACGTGTTGCTGGATGGTGTGACAGAAAGACAGGCAGTGCTTTTTCCTGCTGACCAGAAAAGGAAACTACACCACCACATTGAGCCTGGGTCAATGCAGTGCCCTAGGTAAACACAATACAGAGTAGTGTAGAAAGAAGTTTAATGATCTTCTGTGCTCTGTAAGGGTAAGTCCCAGCATCAGCTTTCTGCTATCTCACAATCATGGGGTCACTGCTCACTCTAATTCTGCCACCGCACACACTTTTCATCAAGGTTCATGGACCATAACCTCACTAATATCTCCATTATGTCCATTCAACAGCCGGCTAGTCACTTCATTCTCCAAAACTACTCGTCTTCCTGACCTCTGCACTTCCTACGTTGTCACTGGGGATACTTCTATTGCCTGTGCATCACAATTGCAGCACTCATTTCCATCTCCATCATACTGAATCCCTCCTTTTGTTTTAATGCAGAAGAAAGATTCTTACAATTGGGGCATGAGGGTGAAGATTGGGTGGATGGGTGGGGGGGGCGGTGGGGTAGGACATAAGGCTCTTCATCATATGATGACAATATCTTGGATTTGTTTGGAGGAAAGCACAATTGCTCATGTGGGAATGTGGACATCTCCATGAGCAACTATCCCAGAGCTATGATGAGCTGCCGTCCCATTGCCACTTACATTAACCGATTGTTAACCTGTGCAAGATTTTACCTAATTCCCTTTTCCCTTAAGCAGATTCCCCATGACATCCTGAAGAGGTTAGCAGTGGAGACCCTCAGCTCCACCTTCACCTCCAGGCAAGAAGCTACCCACCCCTCGGAGGAATACGCTAGCAAGGCATTCACATGTATCCGCCACTAGCTTAGAGTCTTTCAGCTCAGTGGATTCTCTAGCTAGAGTAGACTCAAAAGCACATTGGTGAGCACATTGCTCATACATCTCCACAACTGAGGAAGAAACGCCCCAGGTCTTTGACACTCAGAGGAATGCCAGAGACCAAGCACTTGCTTGGCAATCCCGTGATCTCAGCTATTCATGACTTCAACAAAAAGCATAGGCAGGCACTCGAGCAGCAGGCAGATTTGTCAGAGACAGACAGTAACTGAATTGAAGGATAGGGGAATCCACCAACATTATCAATACCATGCTGGCTCAGACATACATCTTTCAAATTACATCAGTGGACAGATGCCTACTACCATGGAGACCCAGACTCAGCACATTTGATGTCTGCTGGGTATGCCCATGGACTTGCACATCATCATTGTAACCACTGGTGATCAGCATCAATGGCAATGAACAGAGGGACACGAGGGACTAAAATCTTATTCCAAGTACTTCTTCCTTGCAGACAGGTGGTACCATTCATAGGGAGTAGTGGCAACACAAGGGGCCCCTCGAAGCTTACTCATGGGACACATCTATGTTGCTAAAGCCTGAAGCAGTCCAAGCTGAGAAGGGGGAGCCTGCAATTGGGCAGGATGCTCTTAACAGGCCTGGACCCTCTAGACCCAAAGAACCCCAAGACAACAAACCATGTCTTCATGGCCAATAGGCCTAACTGTGCGAGAACTCCAAACTTCTTTTCTTTATTCATTCGGGGAAGAGTGCATTGCTGGCTAGACAGCATTTATTGTCCGTCCATAATTGCCCAGAGGGCACATGTC